GGTCTTTTTTAGACACTAATGCATCCTTATCACAAGTCTCAATATTCAATCATTATAATTCTGCTTTGTGACAAGTTCTACTATTATTCCCAAAGAAAACTGAGATTTAGAAAAGTCATTTGTGGTTGCTAATGACTGGAAATTTGAAATTATTAATGTTATTAATATGAAATACATATTTAAAATTATGTTTATAATTTGAATGCAGAAAAAAAAAACTATCACTCTCACCCTTACTACCAATATTAACTGGACAACCTAACAAATCAAAGTTACACATAGAACAAAACAAACTGTTCAGGAAGCTGAGGATGCAGAGAAATTTGAATGAACTAATTCTAGAAAGTTGTCACCACTTGAGAAATAGTGAAAGGTAGAGGAAGATTCTATAGAGAGGGATAAAGGGAAATCAGTCAAATGTTTATGGAATCTTAAAGGCCATCTTTTGACTGGCATAAGAGATTAGAATTAAGAGGAGCTGCAGCCTCTGAGCAAGCCTATAGCCTCCACAAAGCTTCTCAAGTATCTTCATGGTACACAGGCAGGACTCTGAGGCCTTGGGAAAGAGCTGGAGAGTGAGAAAAACCCTCTGGGAAAGACTGGGGGAGGGACAGGGGGGAGAGAGAGAGAGAGAGAGAGAGAGAGAGAGAGAGAGAGAGAGAGAGAGAGAAACAGAGAGACAGAGAGAGACAGAGAGAGACAGAGAGACAGACAGACAAAGGACAGAGAAGGGGAGAGAGAACAGAGAAAGAGAAAGGGCTTGTGAGTCTACCTCTTAATTTAGTTTTCCCATAGGGTTGAAAATTGGCTAGATAAAAGAAAATATACACAAAGAGGGGAAATTTTTTATGTGATATTGGTGGTTACCATTAGGTTTTCTATGGTAACACTCTGGGTTTTGGGTCAATGAGTTGAGGAATAACAATATGGGAATTGTAAACAAATGTGATAGAGTACAACTGGGTTTCAAAAATCTTATGTCAGTTCTAAATGTAGATGCCAGGGCAGCAAGTATATTAAACAAGTTTATAACAAAACCTCATCCTCTTTGTAATAGTTTTTGGAGGTTAGGACCTGGAGAAGTGATGGCAATGGGAATAATGTCCTCATAAAAGAGACCTCAGAGAGCTTCCTTGCCCCTTCCACCCTATACAAGACTGTATCTGTGAACTAGGAATCAGTTCCTCACCAGACTTGAACTGCTGGTGACTTGATCCTAGTCTTTCTAGGTACTATGAGAAACAAATTTCAAATTATTTAGAAGCCACCCGGTCTATTTTGTTATAGCAACTTCAACACATGAAGCCAAGGACATAAAATAGACTAAACATCATTAGTCATTAGGGAAATGCAAATTACATGCACATTCTGATGCCCTGCATGCCAAATAGAAAGGTCAAAGGCAAACAGTCTAACAATTCCAATATGGGGAAAGGTTTGGAGCAACTGGATATTTTGGGCAGTGTTGGTAGGAGTGTAAAATATCACAATCACTGTGGGACCTGAGTTGGTTTAGCAGGTCCACACATAGGTATTTAGCAAAGAAAAGTAAAAACAAAGGCCCACAAGTGACCCATCCAAAAATACTTGTACCAGCCTTATTCATTCTTAGCACAAATTAGAAACAACTCTAATGTCCATGAATAGGAGAATTTGTGAACAATCATGGTATGTCCATACAAAGGACTTTTACTCTACAATTGAAAAGAAGAACTGAGTTATACACAACACTATGAATGGGTCTTTAAAACCTCATGTTGAACAGTAGAAATCAATTGGTTCCCCCGATATACTATGTGATTTCGCTTATATTAAATTCAAGAACAGGAAAAATAGAACAATGATGGTGATAGCAGTAAAAAATACTGTTTCTTCTGGGAGGTATGGATTGGCTAGAAGGGGGCACAAAATTTATAGGGTCATAGGAATAGTCAACATACTGTTTTAGATGGTGGTGACACAAGTGTAAAAAATTCTCAAACTCATTGAAATGAACATACAGTATCTGTGCATTATATGAATTATGTTTAATAAAAAAGGACCAAAATAAAATAACACCTATATAGAGAGATGAGCATAATTATAGAAAGATATACATTTTTACAAATTGGAAAAGCCCAGGGAACCAGCACCCCTATCATGGAAGACGGCACTGTCCCCATTCCAGGCCACTCTTGTACCTGCTTCCTCTCTACAACCCCAGTAACCACCATCCTGACATCTTCATGCATGGATTGTTTTGGTACATTTTTAAGTGGGGTCTTTTATCTGGATTATTACAGACAATCTAACTTTATGATATTCTTAGTATTATCTGTAGCCATAGATCTTTATTCTCAGAGCTGCATGTTCCTCTGTTTTCTTTAATCATCTATTTGTGTGTATCTAGACTCTTCAGGCATACAACTCTCCTGCTGGTTCATTTTTGATACCATATCTTTGGAAGCCATTAGAGGATCTGAGAGGAGGCTATAATCATGGCAGACCACAGGTGTTCTGTAATAATTAGAAAAATACTAACACATTTCTGAAACTAAGAGAAAGCTGGAATACTCCTCTGGGTATGTTTTATTTTATTTAGGTTTATTTTTTAATAAGGCATAATTTTTTCATGAAATTCACTTATATGTTCAGTCTAATGTTTTTAAGAACCAAATTCACCCACATAACAGGCAATACACAGAATATTTACTTTACCTCAATACTGCCCTCCTTCCTCATTTCAATTGATCCCTTTGCTTGGAGACAACCACTTTCTACTACTAGTACCACTGATTGAATCATCCTTCACTTTAAAAAAATTATCTCTTTGTAATATAAGAACTCAAGTGTCACTAAACTCATGTATTCATTTAAGGAAGACTACATCCATAGGCAATTAAAAGCTGTAATCAACTAAACCACATACATAAATCAGCACATTGATGCCAAGCAAATCAGTCATTAAATTACAAGTTGCTTAAACACAAAACAGTTGCAGTGCATCTAGGGGAAAATGTCTTTGAGCCATACCTGCCACAGCAGGAGCTGATAGAAGCATTGCTGTTTTTGAATTGCTTCATTTTTTAAAGCAGGTGAATAATGACGCCTTGCCTGGTGAGTTTGGCTGCTCTCATTTTGACTGCAGGGTGCTGTATTTGAAGGTCAGATTTTTCCCAGCACAGACTTACTAATGATTGCTGTTGCACGTGCAACTGGACTAAAGCTGACACTCAGGAAATTTGCTATAATATCAGTAAACAGACAAGTAGCTTCATCCACTGTAAATTTCCCAGAATCCTTTAACCTGGAGCATAGGAAGAAAGTTATGATAATCGAGAGTGAATAATTTTATCTTCCCATCTGAAAGAAAAATTGGTGAACACATTTCATCATAGATTTTTGCTGGAGATAAACAATCATACAGCATATGAAAAGATGAATCATCTTTTATTTCTGTAGTCACCAAAACCCATAATAAAATGTATTTCTCATAAAAGTTTCGAGTCCACACTAGATGCTTTGGCTGAATGTAGCAAATGTCTGAATTGTCAATGGCCTTCAATTTTAAGTGACTCATGTACATGTCCAGAAGTAACTGTTTTCCATTCAATAGCAATAAGATCAAATAGGTAGATTAGATTCTCTAGTCATGTCAAAAGCCTTGGCAGAACACAGGGAAAATGAAACCAAGTGGCATTTCCTGTTCTGACACAGAAGCATCTAAGCACTCCATCATTGTGCACCTGCTTTCTGAGGCACAGACCAGACCTTCAGACCTAGATTTGAGGCAGAACAGAGCACATTCGTTCACAGAGGAAGCTTCCGACATGCAGGTCCCCTGTCTGCTGAGGATAGTCATAGCCTCCATATGGCTTGGTGAGAATGGCAAGGGTGGCCACAGACTCAGGATCTGGCTCTGAGAGTGGGGGCAGAGGCAGGGTGCTATTGTCTGATGGGGTTAAGAGAGTAGAGTGATGGGCGTGGGAATCAGAGCTCTCTTACACTAGATCCTCAAGACCCCCTGTATGATGCCACAGGGAGAATCAGTCTAATGTCTGTTCATGCATGGATTGGTTTGGTACATTTTTAAGTGGGGTCTTTTAGTATGGGCTCTTGTATCTGGATTATTACAGACAATCTAACGTTATGATATTCTTATTATTATCTGTAGCCATAGATCTTTATTCTCAGAGCTGCATGTTCCTCTGTTTTCTTTAATCATCTATTTGTGTATATCTAGACTCTTCAGGCATACAACTCTCCTGCTGGTTCATTTTTGATACCATATCTTTGGAAGCCGTTAGAGGATCTGAGAGGAGGCTGTAATCATGGCAGACCACAGGTGTTCTGAAATAATTAGAAAAATACTAACACATTTCTGAAACTAAGAGAAAGCTGGAATACTCATCTGGGTATGTTTTATTTTATTTAGGTTTATTTCTTAATAAGGCATACTTTTTTCATGAAATTCACTTTTTTTTAAGAACCAAATTCACGCACTTAACAGGCAATACACAGAATATTTACTTTACCTCAATACTGCCCTCCTTCCTCATTTCAGTTGATCCCTTTGCTTGGAGACAACCACTTTCTAATACTAGTGCCACTGATTGAATCATCCTTCACTTTAAAAAAATTATCTCTTTGTAATATAAGAACTCAAGTGTCAAAAATGGGGACAGTGCTGTCTTGCATGATAGGGGTGCTGGTTCCCTGGGCTTTTCCAATTTGTAAAAATGTATATATTTCTGTAATTATGCTCATCTCTCTATATAGGTTTTTGCTTGAGACAATCATACAGCATATGAAAAGAGAATTATCTTTTATTTCTGTAGTCACCTCAACCCACAAATAAAATGTATTTCTCATAAAACTTTCGAGTCCACACTAAGTGCATTGGCTGAATGTAGCAAATGTCTGAATTGTCAATGGCCTTCAATTTAAAGTGACTCATGTACATGCCCAGAAGTAACTGTTTTTCATTCAATTACAATAAGACCAAATAGGCAGGTTAGATTCTTTTTATGTCAAAAGCCTTGGCAGAACACAGGGAAAATGAAACCAAGTGGCATTTCCTGTTCTGACACAGAAGCATCTAAGCACTCAGTCATTGTGCACCTGCTTTCTGAGGCACAGGCCAGACCTTCAGACCTGGATTTGAGGCAGAACAGAGCACATTCGCTCACCGGGGAAGCTTCTAACATGCAGGTCCCCTGTCTGCTGAGGGCAGTCATAGCCTCCATGTGGCTTGGTAAGAATGGTGAGGGTGGCCACAGACTCAGGATCTGGCTCTGAGGGTGGGTACAGAGGCAGGGTGTTATTGTCTGATGGGGTTAGGAGAGTAGAGTGATGGGCGTGGGAATCAGAGCTCTCCTACACTAGATCCTCAAGACCCCCTGGACGATGCCACAGGGAGAATCAGTCTAATGTCTGTCTCTGTCTCTCTCAGGATCCAGCATGTCCCAGAAGGTAACACAAGATGAAGCTGCAATTTCTATGCTAGAGAAGGAGGCTGTGACCTTGAATTGTGTATATAACTCTACTAGTTTTAGTTATTATTTATTCTGGTACAAACAACCACCAAGTGGGGAAATGATCCTCCTCATCGATCAGGAGTCTTACAGGGAAGAGAAGGTGACCGAGGGTCGGTTTTCCCTGAACTTACAGAAGCCAGTCAGCTCCTTCAGCTTCACCATCTCGGCCTTAGAGCTCCAGGACTCGGCAGTGTATTTCTGCGCTCTGAGAGAGTCCACAGTGAAGCAGGTGCCTGCAGGAGCCCTACAAAACCCTCAGATCTCAACACCAGGCCTCCCCCAGCGATGAACACCTGGATGGTGGACTGGAATCAGCAGAGGCTGTCAGCAAGTGTGGGTTTCAAGGGGAACCTTACCCTAAGGAAAACATTGTCTCTCTGGCTCAGAAAATATTTCCACATTGTAATTCATCAAAAAATCTGTCTTCAGTTCTTTATCTAGGAGTAGATTATTTGATGAGAGATTTAAAAAAAAAAAAAACCTTTTGTGGTGGTTACTTTAAAGTAGGACATTGACTTCTCTTTTTAAATTTTTTTATTGTTTTAATTAGTTATACATGACAGTAGAATGCATTTATGCACTTTGATATATCATATGTAGATAGGATATAATTTCTCATTTTTCTGAGTGTACATGTTGCAGAATCATATTGATCATGTAGTCACATATATACATACAGTAATAATGTCTGTTTCATTCTACTATCTTTCCTATCCCCACATCCCCTTCTCTTCCCTCCTGTCACTTCCCTCTACCTAATCTAAGGTAACGCTATTCTTCCCTAGTGCCCCCTGCCTTGTTGTGAATTAGCATTCCCATATTAGAGAAAACATTTGGTCTTTAGTTTTGTGGGGTTGAATTATTTTGCCTAGCATGAAGTTCAAAAACACTTGACCAAATCTGCACCTAAATTTTTACATTGTTTAGATCCACTCCACAAATATGTGTGCCTTACTTACCAAGTCTGAGCACTGCCTTAGAGATGAACTATTCTTGACACTTCCTGTACCCTCCCTCTTCCATTGCCTCATGTGTGCCATGAATGAGTTGGAGTGAGGAGTGTAGAACAAATGTCACCTCAGGTCTTGAAGTCAAGGAGAAATGAAGCTAAAATCAATCTCATATTCTCTATGTGCAGTTATAAAAGTTACAAATGTTTGGGGGTGAAAAGAACATCAATGAAGAAATCTTAAAAATAAGACAAAAATCATTCCAAAATTCTAACACTCAGGAAAAATTATATTTTGAAATCATATGATATAGGACATAGGATGAGTTCTATTCCACATCATTACCCAGCCATATATTATGAAATAAAATAATTACTTATACAATATTACTTAGATCAGCATATATTCCAGTAACGACATTCCAAATATTTTATAACACTTCATCTAATTTCATTTTCTTAATTATTTATAATGTTTAAATTATTTACTATAATAAATAATGCTGAGATTAGGATGTATATTTCATGATTTTCTAGACAATTCCCAGTAGGTGAATAGTTGAGATTTACATTTCAGTCTTTCTGGCTTGGGCTACTTGACCATTTTTGTGACCACAGAGCATAGCACATTTTTACTCTGTAATCACTAAATATTCTTTTATTTTCTCACCTTCAATATTCTTTCATATAATATATTTTCCTTATTATCTACTTCCAATGACTCCAGATAGCTTCAGTCCTGCACTACATTCACGTGCAGAGTAGCTGTCATAGTCACTTTGGTAACAGCCATGACCCTTGGCTATTGTTTGATGATCCTGGATGGGAATTTCCTAGTGGACTTGCTTTCCTGTGGAATTCCAAACAGGAAGATTATTTTCTTTAAAAAGTTTTTCTGTCCCTCTTGTGCAAGTCTTCCCCCACCTTCCCCTTCCACTCTCTTCTCTACCACGGAGAATGGAGAAAGGCCGGTTAGGGACAGGACATGAGGAGTGTAAGGAAGAATGCCACCTGAGTGTCTTGTTTCCTTTACACCAAGACATGCTTCTAGAAAGGCCCTCCCAAAGTCATAGGATTCCTACAGGCCTTTTAGGAAACCAGAGAATCAGAGACCTGTGACTTGGTTCCAAGCCTTTACTGGTCACTCTGGACTCATCACCCTCTGCATCTGAGTCTCATTCACTCTTTTCTGTCCTTTAGGTGGGTTTTCTCCCTCCTCTCATGACTGTATAAAATGTGTGGTCTTTTCCTGAATATAAAGAAAGCTTTGAGTTCCTTGGACCATCAGATCACCAATAAGATCTGTTTTTTTTTTCTCTTGAGCTATGGATAATTGGTAAGAGAAGGCTTTTGGGTGAAAACTCTCCTTAAGGTTTTCATTTTGGAGTTTAGAACTCATAAATGCTTTCAAGGGAATTCTGGGCTGGAAATGGCCTCTCTTCCTATTGTCAACCTCATTTGGGAGACATGACTAAACAGGGGAGGACTATTATTCTTGGAGCTGCTATAACAGTGACTGGTCTAGGTTGGGCCCACCAGGAGTCAAGGCCACAAAAGCAACTGTTCAGGTGGCAACTGAGATGAAGTGCTGATATTCTGTTCTCTCCTCTAGCACAGGTTCAGATGCAGAGGCTGAGCAATCCTCCCAGTTCTAGTGTCTGTTTAAACTTTGAAGCTGGGAACAGAGGTGTGCTCCTGACCCTGGGTGAACATTTCAGTCCTGAGAAAAGATGGTGTGTAAAATTACAAATGAGCAGAGGGACCTGTTATACCCACTTGTCTCAGAGTCCCTCACCTGATGTGCTTAGGATGAGATGCAACTCATACCTGCTCACTTATTGAGGAAGGTGCATTCTCGGGATCAGTGACTGAAGCAGGCTTGGCATGTTGGCTTGCTAGGGCTGCTGTGACAAAGTGTCACAAATAGGGAGCTCAAACAATAGAAATCTATCATCTCATAGTTTTGGTAGCAATGTCTGAAATCAAAGTGTGGGCTGGGTTGTTAACCTCTGAGTCAGGGAGGGAAGGATCTGAGCCAGGCCTTTCTCCTGGGTGTGGAGATAACAATTCCTCTAAGGGTCTGCATATCATCTTCCCTCCATGTGGGTCTGTGCCACAATTTCCACTTTCACACTGGGTTAAGGTACATCTCTGTGACCTCACTTTATCTGGATTACTGTTGAGAGCCACAGCCGAAGGGGCCCCAGCAAACTTTCAGACTGCCAGCTGATGATTGGCTCACAGCGGCCCCAGCAACTTCTAGCTGATTGGCTCCTCTGCGGTGATGCTCATTGAGCTGTTTCCCCGCCCTTTCAGACCACGGAGCTACTCATTGGGGGACTTTTTTGGCTCTGCCCATGTGACCCAGCCAATCGACCTCAAGAGCAGGAGGATTGTGGGAGGTGGAGAGGCTTGGGGTTGAGGGAGAGGCTTGTAGGAAGCCGGTGGTGGCAGTTGGGCTCTGAAGGTTTTCCTGAGGAGCTTTTTTGTTTGGTGTGTGTGGTTCTAAAAATAAAGTTCATTTCTTTTGACAAGTGGCTCCTGAATCGTGCCCAGCCAGACTGCGGCATTTGGTGGCTCACACAGGGAGCGACTGAGGGTAAGTGATAAGGTAAACTGCTCGCCCCAGAGGGCAGGGCGAGAGGATGGGTAGCCATTTTAAGATTCCTCTTTTGTTTTGCTTCACTTTTGTTTTAAGTTGCCTGTCCCTGGAGATGTGTAAGATGGAAGAAAAACCACTCACATCTGAGGAACAGATAGGGAGAAAGGATGGATGGACATTTCAGGAGGATAGAAAAGCTATTATAATGATTTTCTGTTGTTCCACTTTTGTTTCATTCTGGCTCAGTTTTGTTTGGCGTTATTTTCTTGGGTTGTATTATAGTTATAGTAGAAATATTCAAGTAAAAGAGAAGGTCTCTCAAGCTAGTCAGACAGAGAAAAAAATTCAAGTAAAAAAGAAGGTCTCTCGAGCTAGTCAGAGGAAAAAATTCAATTAAAAGAGAAGGTCTCTCGAACTAGTCAGAGAGAGGAAAAAATTCAATTAAAAGAGAAGGTCTCTCGAATTAGTCAGACAGAGGAAAAAATTCAAGTAAAAGAGAAGGCCTCTCAAGCTACTCAGACAAAGAAAGTGTAAAGCAGAAAAAGCCATCAGGGGGAAAGTTACAACAGGAGACTGCTACTAACACCTTTCTATCACCAGAGGGTGTAAGTGTCCAACCAACAGCACCACCTCTACAGGAGACTGCTACTAATACCTTTCTATCACCAGAGGGCGTAAGTGTCCAACTAACAAGGCCACCTCCATATGCTGGGAGGCCTCCAACCTCCGCAGTTGATAGTTGGGATCCTGAGACAAGATCTCAAATATTAACATGCCCTGTATTTGAGGCAGGAGGGCAGCAAGTTTACCATGCTTTAAATTTCAAAACAGTGAAGCAGCTAAAAGAGGCTGTAACATCCTATGGTCCTCTAGCACCCTTCACTGTAAGCATGGTCGAATCCATTAACAACTTGAACATGATGCCAGCAGATTGGGCTAATATGTGTAAAGCTGTGCTAAATGGAGGACAATACCTGTTATGGAAGGTTGCCAATGAGGAATTTTGCAAGGAGACGGCTAGGCGAAATGCAGCAGCTGGTTATCCTCAGAGAAATCTAGATATGTTGTTAGGAAAGGGACCATATGAGGACCAGCAGCAACAAATTGCATATGATCCTGGTATATACGCACAAATTGCTGTAGATGCAGTTAAGGCATGGAAGACTTTACAAGGACATGGAGGTTTACAAGGTCAATTATCTAAGGTAATACAAGGAGCTAATGAATCTTACACTGAATTTGTAGATAGGCTTATTCAAACAGCTACCAGAGTTTTGGGGAATACAGAACAAGCAATGCCATTAATAAAACAACTGGCTTATGACCAAGCGAATCGTTGGTGCAGAGACATCATTAGACCATGGAAACATGAAGATTTAAACACATATATTAAATTATGTAGAGACATTAATGAACAAGAGCAAGTCGTGGCAGCTGCAGTAAAATAGGCTTTAGATGCCAGAGAAATTAATGAACAAGGGCAAATTGTGGCAGCTGCAGTAAAACAGGCTTTAGATGCCAGGCCAAGAACATGCTACAATTGTGAACAAACAGGACATTTTAAAAGGAATTGCCCCATAGGAGGAGGGTTTCACAAAACTAGGTATCAAAGGAGTAGAATACCAGGTATTTGCCCACGATGCCGTAGAGGGAGACATTGGGCTAATGAATGCCATTCTCAAACCACCATAGAGGGTACTCCATTATCAAAAAACGAACAAGGACCAGGTGTTTATCCACGATATCGTGGAGAAAGGCATCGGGCTCCATTGCCAAAAAATGAATAGGGGGGCCCAATGCTCCGGGGCCCAAAACCACAAATATACGGAGCACTGGAGGAACCCAGCAACCCCATCAGGGTAGTGCCCAGGACACATTGTCCATCAGATCCCTCATCAGACAAACCAGAGGGAGTGCAGGGTTGGACAT